AAACATTCAAATATATAGATATAGAATCTGATTATTATTTTTTGTTTATTTCCAGATTATTATTATTCATACGAAGAAATATGTTTCTTATGTATTATCTTAGTGAAAAAAGTGAACGTGTTTATACATTCAAAGTAAAATATTTAACTTGATGATATTCAAAAAATACTTTTTTTATATAGAAAGTCGATCCAGTAGGAAATCCAACACAATCGGCTCATCCAGGTATAGTTTTAATTTAGTACTATATAATAATTTTATTATTATTTTTCTAGCGAAATTTTCACCGGATGATCAATATTCACGTCAACGTCTTAAACTTAAAGGACGATACAGATTACTTTTAACACAAACACCACTTATTAAGTGTTAAAATTTGTTATTTGTTATCATGTTAACATCTTGATCAAAAAAAAAAGAATGTTACATTGTTGTTTTCTAATAAATAAAACAATTTGTTATAGATAATATATCATTTCATTTGCTATTTAGTAAAGATAAACGTGATAGTCTTGTTTTACTTTGAACATACGTCTTAAAGTTGTTATGAGTGATAGATGAAAGTTATTTCCTAGAAAGCTAATTTTCATGTTAATTGGTTCTTATTGTCAAATATTACTTTATACCAACAATTTATCAAAAATAATTTTTCACACGATGAAATACTATCTTAGAAGAAGATACAATAATTGTTACTCTGCGTCAATGTTCTTCTCACAACTATTACACTAAACGAATAAAAAAAGAGGCATCTTGAGGGTATGGGTGAGCGTATGAGTTTATGTGTTTGCTCAATGTCATACACCGACACCCGCCAATCCGATCGGAATACTAAAAATTTTATTTATCACTTGCTAAGCATGTGCGTTTTTGCAAAACAGATTCTTACATTAACTTTAATATCTTAAGGACAGAAAAAATGCAGCTTTGTTCGAGGAATTATAATAGCTACGATTCGTTCCGCGAACCAAAGTCGTTTGTTTTTTTACCAGTTTGAAATAGAAAAATAATGTGAAAACAAAAGCTCCTGTAGAGAGGCCGAGCGGTGTGGGTGGGTTTTTATATTAGTAGGTGTGGATTAGAGATCCACTCACACCCACACCCATCTAATCGATATTTATCAAAAGATTTTGTTTT